GGAAGTAAGAGTGAGATAGAAATGTCATTAGCCAAGGGTAAGCTGTTTTCCGCCTCAAGACGTGAAGCGCTTTGTGAAGGTAGAATTTGGAGCAGGCTTCCGTGCCGTCGAGAAGGAGCGACACAATTTACAAGTGACTACCGCCTTCTGGGAACTTAACACGTCCGCGTTACAGGGGTTAGAGAACAACATTGGAAATAACATTGAAGGTCCATAAATAAGTTTTTTTCGTCTAAGAGGTTTTCTGGGTAAAAACGGACCGATATTCGGTAAGGTGTATTGTCACATGGAATGTCATCCAGTTTGAAGAGTCATACTCAGCCAACCAATCCTTCTAACGCAGTCTGCAGGCAGAAGGTGATGTGTGCAGCGTATCGAAACGTTAAAAGTGTCCCCCAGCTACCTCGAAATTGGGAAATCCTCCCGCTATGTCGCAATATCGTTGTCTGATGGTTGACTCAACGTCATTTCAACATCTTTGTGATTGCCAAGAGAGAAGGATTATGGTGAGAAGTAAGATCGGCTCGTGCTCTTCCCCGGACCTGTGAAAGAACCAATCATCGCATTCCACAGGGGCATCACAAATGGATGGAATTTGACTTCACCCTCCGAAGGAGGAGGAGGTGTAATAGGGCAAACCAGAAGGCCTGGAGAGGCTATAGGCCATGCCACCAAGACGCCTGCAGAGACGGAGGAGAGCAGTCAAATAAGCATCACTTCCAATCTGTCTGCCCATAAGTGAGGTGAGTGTACACTCTATTTTGCTTTTTTTCTCCTGCATAAAGTCAACTCCTTTTTTAAGGACCACTTAACGAAGCGTGAAGTGACTCGCATCCTCCATTTGAACAAGCAGAAGTCAGTCTTCTATGTCTCTTTCACTTTGTCTAGCGTTAAAGGCTGCTTTTTATTGCCTCTTAAACCCTGCATTTGTAATGCATTCAGTTAATGTGACTGTGTACTTCGTCGGTGGCACAACGGAAGTGCGCAAGCACGTCTATCTTGTTTCCGTAAATTTTTCCGGTCAGCAAGGCAGACGGGGATTTATTTTTGCTCACATGACCGAGGTGGAGGAGAGGAAGAGGAAAAAAGCCTTCGTAAACAGCAAGATGCAGAAGTTATTTGAAAGCAGGGTGTCATTCGTCTGTGACATTTAGATGTGGCATCAACCTAGCTAAATCCGGAGCCTAGTCCATTGGAGTCCGTTTTGCTGACCGCTGTCACCGATGTTATACGGTTGAATCATTTCTGAAGGGGCATAAAAGCGTACCAGTAGAGGAGAATGGTCAGGAAGCTGTTAACACTGCGACAACGAGGCGATGAAAGAACCGGGGGAAATGGAAGATTCCGTGCAGCTTGCTTGAAGGTAAGGAGAGCTCTAGGACCGGAGATTAAAAAATTTCAGTTATTTATTCATCCTATGATATAAACATCCAAAACCAGCCATTTCAATGTCAAAGTCTAAGTTGTCACGTAAATCTCAACATGTCGTGGGAAATATTGAGTAAACATGCTGTAGGTATCGTTAATTTCTCACGATTTTTGTGAGGATTCGCTGATTAACCTCCGTAAAAATGCTATTCGAATGGCGTACAAACTCTAGGTTAATGGCGAATTTAGTGACACACACTCTCTGGTTTTCCTATGTTCAGTTGTCATCCTGGTGTCTCATATACATCGGCAGCCTCCCAGACCTCCAGGCGGAATGCTGCAGTGGTGGTGATAAGCAAGCCCGCTCGAAATGGAGTCCAATCCTGGCCCCTTTGGCATAGAGATGCAAGGGAGTTATTCTAGGTCAGGCATACTCCTCCAGGCACCCGATTTCCAGACTCTTGGCCGTGCCCACCAGTGAAGCGATGAACAGGACATCCTTCCTGTTGAACATTCTCTAGCCCTCGCCCCTTTCCGATGCAGATTTCTTTGCAGTGAAGCCAGTATTTTGGGACCCCAACTTAATTCATCACTAGAACAGACAGTCTTTGACCAAATTTGTTTTAGTCTCGTGGTTAGCTGGAATTTGCAGGAAGGCAAATGACTGACGAAGTGAAATAGAGACCACTAGGCTTGTTGGAGTTGGAGTAGAAAAGGAATGTCTACCCACGTGGGTTCTCCTTTTTCATTCACATGTCTTATATCCTCAAGCGATGTGTGTGCCGTGAAAACCTTGAAAATTGCATTTAGCGCACCTACAAAAGGGAAGGGGAACCGAAGTTTAGGGCGGTGACCTCAGTTTACCCTTTATCTCACCTCATAGCGGGCGAGATCTGTGTGCTAAACCATGAAAAGTTATGCCACATTGGAATACTTGGCTCAAATTCTTGCTTTAGTTTTGACTAATTTGTTTTAATTAACAGCTGGAAGTGTCAAGAGAAATGCCCTTCTTTGGTGCATTTCTTTCAAGCAGAGGTGCAAGCAGAAGGGGATTCAATATGCCCCTGTTGTGTGTTGAACCGCACGAAAGACAAAACAAATTCCACACTTCTAAAATGTGCGTTGTGTTAGTGAAAGAATTGACAATTTTTTCCGTAAATTTCTTTTCACAAGGCGGCTGAAGCGTATGTAAAAATTTATCCGCGTAGAATTTGGGATAGAACCTTCAGCCATTCCTAGGTAGGCAAGGCAGAATGGCCAAATTATTGTTATTATTCACTCATCTCTGTCCATCTACCTAGCATTGATCCATCTCCGTATCCACAGATCCATTGACCCGTCCAGTCATCTTCCAATCCCTATCCACCGGTTGGTTCACTGACTGATTTATCCATCCCGTATCCATCCATCCTGTATCCATTCATCCACCTATAAGACAATCGCGGGTAAATCCACATGATGTCGACCATTAGTCGAACCAGCCGTCCATAAATTCATTTATCTTCTACAAATCTCAGAAACACGGGAACCACTGGGGATCCGCAATAATTTGGTGTGGTTAACCGCTAGAGGGACATAACCAGTGGTCGAGAAAACCGATAGAAACAAATCTAATGATAAAGTGTTCTTTTAACTTATCCTATCCCATAAACACTTCTTTTTTACACTTTTATGTGTCATTGTTTATTAACTCCAGGTCATCAGGTATTCGTTCACAACATTCTGTTCTAAATGGATGCTTGCTTTTTTTATTACCAGCTTCACTAATGATTTGACTTTTCGTTTGTAGATGCTTCCAGTTGTCTGAGCTAGCACCTCAAATGGAATTCTTTGGGTAATTTTATTGCCTAGGCCATGAATTCACTAGATCGCTCCAAAAATTACTCTCAGCACCTGGAAAGTAATCACGGTGAAAAAGGGACAGAGATAACTAACCTCCAAAGTTGTCAACACTTCTTCAGTCGGAAATAATAAAGCACTACAGGCTTGATAGGTTATCTGAACCTCTGAAAGACCTTTTTTATGGACCAGTTGGCCGAAATCCCGCTTTATCTCAAGGGCTACTGACCGCAGTCCAGTCTGATCGAGCCAATTCCGGTCTGGTCCAGTCGAGTCGATTTAAGTCTAGTCCAGTCTGATTCAGTTCAGACTGTCCAGTCAGGCCGAGTTCAGTCCAGTCCAAATGCCATTAGCGGAGATGGTAACAGTCGAAGCGCGTGGACGGGCATACAACAGCATGAAGTGGGTGAGAAAGTGTCTTGTGAAGGAATGCGTATGAATTTGACCCGTGGATATGGATTCCCGCGTGCAGAACACTTCAAGCCCTCAGCCTATCAACAGGGAGATGCTTGAGTGATGAAGACCTTTCAAAGACAACCGTATGTCTGTACGTCAGTGGTGATCCCAACTGTGATGTGCTCCTGCCTACAGCAGTCTACTAGGGCGCGAACCCTCCAACTGATCCCTAAAAAGTCGTGAAATTATGCAACAGGCTCTGTGGACGTTAGGCACTTCCAAAAGCTAGCACGCGTTGAGGACTAAGGACTCTTTTTCCATTGATGACAAAGTGGGGCACACTGTTCATTGAGGTTGCAGTCCTACTGGCAAATCTCTCTGTGTCTAAGTCTCAATACTACTGATTAGGCACTAGGCGGCTTTTCGGAGAACCAAATGCGGGTTCTCATCCTTGAAGCATGCCATTCTGTTGCGCTCCGAGTCTTGCCGGAAGTCATAAGAGGTCATAGCACTATGGCAAAAAATGCATTCCTGACGTATAGAAGGGTTGAGAGGGTACCGGCTTGAGCCGAAAGCCATACTGCTGAACGGAAGTGCAATATGTGGCAACTCAAGTGCTGGAGTAGCCAAAAAGGGGGAGTTTAACAAACTATCAAACTATTGCAATTCATTCATTAACATCAAACTTTTGGATTGAATTGAATTTCCTGTCGGTGAAGCTGACTTGTCGTTTTTGAACGGTTTGGCATAACGCTTTTATCATCCAGGGTTAACCTTTTGCAGCGACGGACTACAGACGTCTCCGACTAATTTTTTCAAGGACAGGACAAATTAAGCAGGTGTAATTAAATTTATTAAACCATCAGTATTCCTTTTAATTTTTTTAAGAAAATTGGCAGTTTGACTACCCCAGAAATGGTTTCCGCATCAATTACCACCACCACCACCACCACCACCACCACCACCACCACCACCACCACCACCACCACCACCACCACCACCACCACCACCACCACC